GTCCCTGTGCTTTGCACATGCCCTTAGAACATTTGCTCGGCGGTCGAGGAGGAGCCTCGGTCTGCTTTCTGCCCCCCCCCCCGACCACATCTTGCCATAGTTGCTCAGCTACAGCTTCTGGGACTCGGAGCTGCTGGGAAGCCCTCCCCGTGAATCCTCTCGGAGTCTGGTGGGGAAGAGGAGGCCATGTGTGCCTTCCAAGGGGGCCTCTCTCTCCTCTCCTCACGTGGAATGTTTTCTGGAGACCAAGCTCGGGCTCCTGGGAAGCCAGCCGCTCTGATGACTTTCTTCCCCCTTGCAGATTTCTTCCGGGAGCTTCTTGCAGGGGCCGAGCGCGCTCTTCAGGCTGGGTTCACCCGTTCCTATGGGCGGCTGTATGCCCAGCATGCTGGTCTCTTCCAGGAACTCTTTGTGGAGCTGCAGCGTCACCTTCAAGGGTCCCGGCCTGGTCTGCATGAGGCCCTGAGAGACTTCTGGGCTCGCCTCCTGGAGTGGATGGTGCCTCTGCTCAACCCGCAGTGCATCTTCCCAGAGGGCTACCTGGAGTGTGTGGGACGCCAGACAGATGGCCTGCAGGCCTCTGGGGACAGTCCCCGCCAGCTCCGGGTGCAGGTGCCATCGCACCTCTTCTAGGGGCCCCCATCCTGAGTGGGCCACCTGCACTTGTAAACACCAGCTGTTCCAGTTCGGAGGGTGCCCCCTCTCCTTCTGACCTGCTGCCCCTCTCCCCCAATAATCCCCCTCCTCGAGTTTTATTCATCCACGCCATCCCATGGCTGCCCCTCGTCATCAGGAAGCTTCCTTAGCCCCACATTCTCTGAGAAGTCCTGGCACGCAAGCAACCCGCACTGTCCTTCCTGGGGAGCCCGGCCATTCCCCAGTAGCTCCATTGTTTGGAGAGCTTAGCACGCCTACGGTCTTGGACATAGTTAAGTGAGGCTTAAGCCATTAGAGAAACTCGAGCAAGTTTGGAAAAGGGCAGCAATTAGAAACAGAGGGAGTCAGACGGGGCCTCCGGGCCATCTAGTCTGACCTCCAGCACCAGCCGGCTCCGCTCACGACATGCCCACCATGTGCATGTCCAGCCTATCTTGGAACACCCTCACTGATGGGGTTATACCTGGGAAAGCAAGGCCTGCGAGGAAGATGCAGGTGGGGCTGCCACAGGGGACTGAGTTCTTGGATGTGTTGCATTGTTCCGAGGGGGCGTTAGATCTCGTCCTCTTTTTGTGCTGGCACTTAGTTTTTGTATGCCGTCCCCTTGCTATATAGCCTCAGGACGGCTCACAGAAATAAATAAATATAATACAATACAATTAAAACCCGGAAACACCCTGGCTGCACAATTAAAACCTATAAATATTAAACATTGTTAAAATATTGTTTGAATAAAAAGGTCTTAGCCTGGTGCTGAAAAACAAATAACCACGGCGCCAGGCAGACCTCTCTGGGGAGCACATTCCACAGATGGGGCGCCACTGTAGAGAAAGCCCTCGTCCGGGTGCTTTGCTTCCTGATGTCTCTCACGGAGGGCTCCCGGAGGAGAGCCTCTGCTGCCAATCAAAAGGGGTGGGAGGACAAATATGGAAGAAGACGTTCCTTTAGGTATCCAGGTCCCAAGCCGTTAAGGGCTTTATAGGAGATTACCAACACCTTGAATTGATCCCGGACTTTGATGGGAAGCCAGTGAAGCTGGTAGAGGACTGGGGTTATATGAGAATAATGCCCAGTCCTTGTCAGCAACCTGGCTGCTCTATTTTGCACCATCTGAAGGATTCGAACTGTCTTCAAGGGCAGCCCCACGTAGAGTGTGTTACAGAAATCCAACCGGGAAGTAACCAATGCATGCGTCACTGTCGCTAGGTAGTCGTCCTCCAGGTAGGGACACAGCTGATGGATCAGCCAAAGCTGAAGGAAAGCGCTCCTCGCCACCGCCGTCACTTGAGCTTCCAACGACCGCTCCGGGTCGAGGAGCACTCCCAAGCTGTGGACCCTGTCCTTTAGGGGGAGTGCAACCCCATTCAGGACAAGGTCCAGGTCCCTCACCCCGACCCACCTACCAACAGGACCTCCGTCTTGTCTGGACTGAGCTTCAGTTTATTGGCCTCGGCCAGGCACCGGTTCAGCTCAGCCACGGCCTCACCTGGATTGGTTGAAAACGAGAGGCAGAGCTGGGCATGATAGCGCACTCGAGGGGCTTCTTGGTCGACGGGGCCTCTGTGCAGACGGCAGCAGCCACTAAGCGTGTGCAGAGACGGCTGTGCCTCCTCCAGCACGGGAGTGGGTGAGCTGGCCACTCCTCTAACCGCATTAGCGGTGCCTGCAGGACGGGGTGGGGCAGGAGTGGGTGGGAATGGCTGTGCAGATCTGCTCTCGCTGCTTCCCGTCTCTCCTGCTCCTCTCCAGGTGACCCGGGCCTTCGTTGCTGCTCGGGGCTTTGTTCAGGGCCTGGCAAGTGGGAAAGAACCGGTGGCGCGGGCCGCACAGGGGAGGGTCTGCGCCTCCTGATGTGCTGAGCGGAGCAAAGGCACCCAGCACCTTCTGTGGAGATGATGCCGAGAGCCTCTTGTGCACGTTCGCTCTGTCTGCCTCACGTCCCTTGACCCGCCGTGCCTGCCCTCCCCTCCCGGCCTGCTGCCGGCCACCCGGCGCCCTCCTGGAGGCGAGCCCAAGGCAGCGAGTGGCTGCACAAGGGAGCCTGAAGGACAATGGCGGAACGTCCGCAAAGGTGCCTGGCCGGTTATGCACTTGCGCAGGAGGAGCTGAGGAGGATTCACACCAGGTGGAAGGAGTTCAAGGAGGGCGACAGGAGCGATCTGAGGACTGGAAACAGACCCCCGTGAGGAGAGGGCCAAAGCACTGGGCACGCTTGGCCTCCAGAAGAGGAACAGAAACTGAGCGAGCCAGAAGGGGCCTCCTGGGCCATCTCGTCTGACCCCGGCTCCAGCCAGCTCCGCTCACGACATGCCCACCACGTGCACGTCTAGCCTCGCCTCGGAAGCCTGAGGGGAAATGGTCTTGAAGGGCTGTCCCACAGAGGAAGGACAGCACCTCTTCCAGTCATCCCAGAGTGCAGACACGGAATGACGGCATCGGGTTACAGGAAGCCACGTTCCGGCTGGACATCAGGACGAACTTCCTGGCTGTGAAGAGCAGAAGGACAGTGGTGCTGGGCAGGTGGTCTCCCTCCTGGAGGCATCCGAGATGCAAGTGGACGGCTGCCTGAGGGGAAGGGTTTAGCTGGGAGCCCTGCCAGGCCGATGCCTCCGCTTGTCATAGGCTTCCTAGTTGGAATGGCGTGTCCACTGAGCAAGCGTCACTCCCTAGATCGCGCGCAGAGCAATGGGAGACCTCTGGCTGGGAAACCTGCCCCTGCCGCTGCCTCTCAGCCCGCCCCTCTCTTGCCGATGCCTTTCTGCGTTTGGGGGGCTGCGGGGGACGCAGAGTGCTCGGCCGGCTTCCTTCATTCCCCCCCTCCTGCACAGCTGCCCCCGAGTGGGGCGTGTCGGTGGGCACACATGCGCCTCTCCAACCGCCAGCTGTGCCGGGGGACCCCGGCTCTCAAGCCATGCGGCGGGTTCCGCTTCACTGTCACGAAAGGCTGCCTGGCAAGCACCACTGAAATGGGCCCTGCGTGGGAGCGCCACCTGGGTGAGCCTGGCGGGGGGGGGGGCAGGGCAGGCAGGACCATGAGCAAAGCTGGGGGGCCCCAGGCGGGTGGCTGCTCGTGCCTTCTAGCAGCACTTCTTCCCCAGCGGAGCTGCGGCAGCGCATTGCTAACTGCTGCAGTTCTCGCTTGGCCTGGGACTTGCTGGGCGCTGAGCGCTGGCTGCATTCCTGCAGTCCGCCTGGGGGACACACAAGGCTGTGGAGAACAAACGCATCATCTGCCAGCAGGTCGTGACAAGGGTGGGCCACCGTGTTGGCGCTGGGCCTCTGTGAGGTCAGGGTCCCACCCGCTGCACGTGCACACGGGCATGGTAAAGGGAGGCTTGCAGGTTTCCCTGTGCAACTCTTTACTCTCCTTTTTCCCTCCCAAGATGCACTGACCCAGTTGGTCAACCGCCTCTGGGTGCCCTTTAACTTTGAGCTGGCAGCTGACTCAATTGGAGTGAAAATTTCCAAGGCAATCATGCACCTGCATCAGCCAGGGTGAGAGCGGGGTCTTTTGCCATGTGGGGGTGGGGGGAGGGAGATCGATTTGGAGTATTAAATGTGGCTCAGGTTCTCACAAGCTCTGAGCTGACCTGCCTTTGCCACTAGCAGCTTTCCCAGGTAAACACTGGGACTCATTTGACTGCTGTTCCCTCACAAGTTCTCCAAAGGAGGATTCTTGGTTTTAAGCACTGGGTTAGTGTGGGCTGGCAGCTCAGGGCGAGGCCTGTTTCCTCCACGTTTTGCCCTCACCTCAGCTATTCCAGAGCTGTGGCAGTCCCCGGCCAGCTCCTGCCCGCTCCCGCCGGTTCGCCCGAGAAGGGACCAGGTGCCGTTTCCGAACCTACTCCCCCGAAGAGAAACCAGCCACCGCAGCAGGAACCAACCTGGACCGGCTGGTAGGTACCAGAAGACACGCTTCTCTTGCAGGTACTTTTTGGGACTTTCTGACCCCACCTCCTGGAATTATGTTTGTTGTATCATATCAGCAATTCCCGCTGGTTTCTCAGAAAGGAAGGGGAGTTAGCTCCACAGTAAGCTGTGTTTAAAAGAGCTTCTTATCTTATTGACAAACTGAATCCAAGAAAGTAACTGCCCAAATCGTATCCATCTTAGAATGCTTAACTCGTGTGTGAAATTATTGATCTTTTAATCAAAATAAGACCAGGTTTTGTAGAAGGCAGCACTTTGCTTTGCAGCAGGGCGTTCTCCCATGAAAGCAAAATTAAAATAACCGTAAGAAATAAAATTAAAATCAGGAGAGGGAAGGAAACTGAGGGTTGCCAGGAGACGTGACTCTGAGCGCTGACTTGGGAACTCGAACACAAACTCAGCAAACTGGGCACCTCGACAAGGAAGACACACAACCCCACGGGAAATACAACCTATGAAAAGTACGGCAGGCTCTTTTCTGGCAGGTTCTTAAAAATGAGAATCCAGAGAGAAAAAAGTCGAATTTAGTTTGAGTCTGTGTGCAGAGTGCCCCTTTAGGATAAGATGGCAGTAGATCCAAAAAAGCAAGAAGGTGGATAGAGAAGGTGACTTAGTCCTAGTAGTGCCCCTATGTTGGTTTTAAGGCAAAGTGTGGCTGCAGTAATCTCCTTTCTCCTAATTAACCAGGTGACGGGGGTCCAGCCGGCCACAAGCTGGGCATTCAGCCTGGCCATTCCCACTCCACCCTCCTGGGCTGGAGCCTTGATGGAAAGAGATGGAAAATGAATGTGCTTACTCCTGTGTTCTCTCCCGTAGCCAGAAACTTTGCACTGGAAATGATCTCTCAGTGATGGTCCTTGAGATGGCAAACAGAAGATTTTGCCGGTGTGGATCTCGTAGGCACACTGGCCAAAGGAAGATCTGTTCCATATGAAGGCGAAAAGTGCCATAAGGAGGGCATGCTAAGTAAGCTTTCCAACGTGGACTCTGATCAAAACAAGAGCGGCTATTCAGAACTGGCCATTCCAACTCTTTTTCCAGATAATGACATGTGCGGGTTTGCAACCCTCTATTTATTTTGCCCCTTCCCGGAGTGCCTCCCAAACATAACGGAGACAGCCACAAAAGTGCAAGCCGCAAGGATGGCTCAGCTCATTCACTCTCCAATACAGAAAAAATTCCTCATACTAGAAATGTGTTACGTAATGATTCATAATACTAAAAAAGGAATCAATGTCAAGCATTACTGGTGAGAGAAAGGCTTGCCGCGTACAACCGCCTCTCCCCACTGGAACCACCTTGGAAGCGGGTCAAAGGTATTTCCAAGGAGGAAAGGGGATGGGAGACCTCCACCCCGGGAGGGGGGTCGCCTTTCCTATATCAGAGTCCCCTCGTGTATTTCAAAAGAGAGATGGGATGGTATAAATGAGAACCTCTGCAGTTCTTCTCCACTCGAACAAGAGCAGAAAATTGAATGCTGCGTGTGCCATCCGGGAAGCTGGCATTCTGGCCTTCAAACGGGGCTCGATCCCCCATCAATTCCTCTGGGAACGGCCATGCCATGCCTCAACGGGCATCCTACCTGCGCCCATGAAAGCTGAGCCCTGCGTCTGATTCCTGGTGCAAAGGGGGGGGGGGTGCAGGAAGGGAGGACCCCCGCCCCCATCCAAGGCAAGCCCACAAGCCACGGCACTTTGCATATGCACGTGAGATCGGGGCTTCTCCGGCAAGGTCCACTCGGCCTCCTGGGGCCTCTCCGCTGGAGGCAGTATCTCTGCCCAGACTTCCATGGAGGGGCCAGGGCCCATTGCCTGGGGGGTGGGGAGGAGCGAGAGACTCGGGGAGGGCAGCGGAACCCCCCCCGCCCCCGTCTTCGCAGACGGGTAAGGAGCAGCCCCTCCCGCCCCGCCGCCCTCCGCTTCCCTTCCCTCCCTTCCCTCGGGCGGCCATGGCAGGAGAGGCAGGAAGGGCAGCAAGAAGCCTCACGTCGCCTTCAGGCAGCCATGCTGGGTGTGACGTCGAAACCGAGGCGCCTGGGGTGCGGAGAAGTGACGGGAGTTTGGCCCTCGCCATGTTGGTAGTGTCCGACCCAGAGAGGGGGCCTTGCCCTTCAGCCATGTTGGGAGTGGCCTGTTTCCGCGCAGGCGCGTGTGTAGAGCCACGAAAGTGAAGAGCCGGATTGGATTGAGGCATCTTCAAAGAGCCGCGGCAAACCCAGGGCCAGCCCCAGCCCGTGTCCCAGGAGGGTCGAAGGGGTGATCTTCTCAGAAGGGGGGGCGGCCGCAGAGTGTGGCCCGTGCGCGGGGAGGGCTTCGTGCAGCCGGGGATCCCGGTGTGGCTCTACGCTCAGCAACGGAGGCGTCAACGGCGCGCCTGGAGTGCCCTCCTGTGGCCACTGCCGAGAATTGCGGCCTCCTGCGCCCAAGAGCCCCGTTTTAGTCATCAGCGGCGCGCCTGGAGTGCCCTCCTGTGGCCACTGCCGAGAATTGCGGCCTGAAGGCTTTCACTGGAAAGGCAAACATTAACCTGGTCCTTTTTATCCCATGTGGTGGCCTTGTCATAAGGGAAAAATCTATTGGGCTAAACTACATAAATGGCTTGAGGAAATGTTACAAAAATCTTTAATATTTAAACCTGAAGTCTTTTTATTAGGCATTGTGTCTGATGATGTTGACAAACAGGCAACCTATTTGATTTACATGTAGTAATTACTGCAGCAAGGATTGTATTTGCCCCACATTGGAGAAGTGAAGAACCACCTTCTGATGATCTGATTTTTAAAAAGATCCTGGACTGCGCTGAAATGGACAGGCTGACTTTGTCTCTGAAGCAGAAAGAGGATACATACTTCTGTCAAACGTGGAACTCTTTTTATTATTGGCTAGAGAAACGGGACTGTGCGCAGATTTGAATATGTCTATGGATTGCTATTAAAAAAAATGGGGGGGGGGGCTGACCCAGCAGTTCTGATGTCTCTGATGATTTATGTTTTTATTTTTTTATTTTTTTAGCTCGTAGAAAATAATAATAATAAAACTTATATTAAAAATAATAATAAAGCATACATGAAAATGATCTTGGAGATCATCCTAACCCCAAGGCAGCGCCCACGATTCCCATTCTCCCCGTTCTATCCTCACAACAGCCCTGCAAGGTAGGGCAGCTGCGAGTCCAAGCCTGGAGAATCTAATCCCTACTTCGAGTAGATGCCGAGCAGGAGAAGGGGATCGCGTTCTGGAGGCAGGTGCACAGGGCAGGAGCGGCACCTCTTCCCCTTCGTACGTCTATGGAACGCCTCTGCAAGGCCGGGCACTACTAAAATGGAGGAGGGCTACACTCCCTGTAAGAAGCCACGACCAAGATGGTGCCTGTGTCGTCACTTCCCTCCCCTCCCCTCCCCTCCCCGCCCGAGGGTGAGGCACTTCCTTGCCTCTCCCTGCTGGGCCGCTCCTCTGGATCAGGATCGGGGAGGGGGGGTGGCGGCGGGGGTGTATTCCTGGGCAGACCGGCGGGCCTGGCCCAGCAGGGAGAACTGGGTGCAGGAGGGACGGAGCCGGGGGGGGGGCGGCGAGGTGGGGTGATAGCGAATGGTCGAGGTGACTGACAGCTGACAGGCCCAATCCGTTACACGGGCGCTCTGCGCGCACTGCACGCCGGTAAATACACAGCTGCGGCTAGTTAGCCAAAAGGCATATAAGGGCGCGCTGCGCGGGCGCCCGCGCATTATAGGGACCAGAGGCTGCTGCAGGCACTTCTCGCCTCGCAAGTATGGCGAGGGGGAGCCTGACGAGCCGCTAAGCGCATGAACAAGGGGGCGAAGAAAGAGGCCGAGCCAGAGTGCTGGGAAAGGATGTTTTGTGCCGCCGCCGCGAGCCTGGAGACGTCGGCGTTGCCTGGAGGACCTTCGGGCCTTGCCTGGAGGGCTTCATGATGGCGGCTTCGCGGGGATCCGAGGACGGAGGCGGCGGTGGTGGCGAGCCCGGCGAGGCGACCTTCCTCCCGGAGACTGAGGGAGCGGCCCCCGCGGCGGCTCGGCTGAGGCGCGCTGCGTTCCGATTGGCTGCCCGGGGACCGGCGACGCGCGACTGAGGTAGGCGCGCCTCTGATTGGCTCCCGAATGGGCGGGAAGCGGTGGCGGGCCTGGCGCGCGAGGGGGGAGGCGCCCCGCCCCGTGCCTCGCGCCCTTTCGCTCAGGCGGTTTCCCCGGAGGAGCAGCCGGGAGGCGCGAGGGGCGGCGGGCCGGGCGAGGAGGCGGCCCGAGAGCGGCTCCCTGTGCAAACTCCCCCTCGCACTGAGGGTGGCCGGGACTCTGGAGAAGGAGTCCTGTGCGGGGCAGTAGCGGGTTAGGGGAGCCCCCTTGGCTTTCCCGGGGAGGAGAAGGGCCCCGTCCATAGGCAGGGTCAGAATAACGACGGGAGCGCCGCTGCTTTCACTGGTCTCGTCCTCCCCGCTCTCGGCCAGGCGTCTCTGCTGTCAGAAGAGGGGCGCGCTCTCAATACCCCGCTCTTCCAGCCTGCAAGTTGGCCCCTGGACGCCGCAGCCCTGCACTTCCTTTCCCTTCCCTTCCCTTCCCTTCCCTTGGGAAGTTGCCATCTCCCTTGAGAAGAGTCCCAGCCGCACCTGCCCTACAGGGCTGCTGCTGTGAGGATGAGAAAGAGCCCGGAGAGCCACCTTGGCTTTCTCACGAGAGGAATGGCCCCAATTTAAGTGTGGGAGTGCAAGGTCAGTCTCCTTTTGACTGGGACAGCTCAGAGCTGTTTAGATTCATGCCTGGGAAGTACCCTCCTTATGATACGGATCAGCTTAGTCCTCAAAGCAATGCTTGGCAGGCCGCTGCACACTTCCCCGTATTTGGCAAGGGGAGACCTCCTTTGAAGAGAGTCCCAGCCTCACCTGCCCTACAGGGTTGCTGCTGTGAGGATAAGAAAGAGCCCAGAGAGTCAGGAGAGGTAAAGGGCCCAGTTAAATTCAGCGTAACAAACATAATAAGAATGCTGCTGCTGCTGCTGCTGCTAGTCTCGCCCTACCCCACTTTTGGGCTAGGTGTCTCTGTTGTAAGAAGAGGCAGCTGTTAAAACCCCCTTCTCCCAGGCTGTGGCTGTTGGCCCCTGGATGCCCCAGCCCTGCAGTTGCCCGCACTTGGGAAGTTGTGACCTCCTTTGCAAATTGTATTTGTAAATAAGGAAAAAGAAATCCTTCTCCACTTTGATGGCAGCCTCAGTCCCCTGGGGAGAAGGTTGACGCTTCCTTGTTGCAACAGGAACTGTTGACTGACATCCCCGAGGACTTCTGGGTCGAGGCTTCTGCAGAGACAGGCCTCCCTGCAAGTGCTAGCCCCATTAAACTCAAAGTGAAAAAGGGGGTCTGACTTGTTGCATGGCATAGAGACTGCTTCCCCGTGGGCCTGAGAGGGCGTTGCTCTACTGGTAGGATTCCTTTTCAGCTCAGGACATTGTGGTGTACCCCGTGAGCCGCTCTATGACACTGCTGTATTGCCCCTCCAGCAACTAAGAAGGTAAAAGCCTGTTTTGAAGCCCTGACTCTGAGCTCTGTGTCCTTTGCCCATCTGGTTGGGACACCCCCCCCCACCCCCAAATGAGGCCCTCGCTCAGTAATGGCTCTGTGGAATCAATGGCTCTCTGTGCGGCCGACACCATGTTAATATCCTGGCAAAATAGAACAGTGGAAAGCACAGTAGAACACAGCCCCAAAGACCAGTAATGGTAGAAGCCAGGAGGGAATTAGCAGAGTGAGAGAGAAGTAAAATGCTAGTTTGATAAATCCTATCTTTTCCAATCTCTCTCTGTCTTTAAAAGCCCCCTCAAGTGGGACCTAAGCAGTTGATGCTAGTGTAGAAGTATGGGGCCCTGAAAGTCATGTCACAGTGGCAGCAGCATAAACTTAAAAGGAGCGGGGAAGTGTGCGCGGCCGTCTTACATTGTGAACGGCTCTGGTTCTTGCTCATACGAGGGAACTGTCCCTTTTGGAGTAGCATGTGAGGTGGATGCCTGGCAAGCCGTGTCCTTAGGAGATGCCTCCCTTGAGTTGTGGCTGAGCTTCATGCGTTTCCAGCCACTCCTCTTCATGGGGACTATTCAGCTTGGGGGCCTTTGCCGTTTTGCCATCTAGCTGGTCCTCTTCAAGGGGATGGCTTGCAGCCAAGCCAGGCTAGTATCCTTTTCAGTGG